CTCATTTCTTCACACCACAACCTTTCTTTCTCTCTCAAACATCTCTCTAAACTCCTCCCAATACCTAGTACTTCTCAAGTGCTAAGAGGTGAGTCCCGGAGCGCCATAAAGCTCCGAGAAGAAGAGCTTTCGACTCAGAAGTTCTGCCCCCGCAGATCCCGGTTCCTAGCCAAACCTCCTAGTAAGTAAGTTATGTTTACCATACTTTAAGTATAGCTTATGTTTAAGTTTAATATCGTTATTATGAACCTATAAACAATATATGTATTATAAAATATAATATACAAAGTGTTATTATAATATCTTTTAACTGCTCGCGGTACGGGGAATCTGGTTTGAAGGACCGCATAGGGTTGTTGGATTTCAGAACAGCTTAAATGCCAAAATGGTCCTGCCCTCCGGTGTTTCATGTTTGGCCACTGTCTGTACATAGTAGTTGAAAAATATTGTTTAATACTTATAAAACAATATCGCTCGTAAATAGTCGCAATAAATATTAGACTAAAATCTAGCGGTAATGATACTAGGTTTCGACGAAGGAAAATAGAATTGTTAGAAGCGAAGCGCTGCCCGAGTTTGGAATCATCACTTTAACAAGTGAGTGCATAGTTACTTTCATCTTATACATAGATATGAAGTATTTGATATAAATTACGTGCTATGTGTGCATATTATTTGTGTTCTTGATATCTATGCTGGATGAACAAAACATACATGTTTTACTCGATTTAAACTGTATACGTATTTTATACCTATAAGTATGATGGTTAAAGATGGGTAGATGAAAGATGAGATGAGGGATGAAATATGAGATGAATGATGAGAGATGAAAGATGATATAGATGATGAAAGGTGAAAGATGATGAGAAGCCTTGACCCAAGCGATGGCCCAGTCATCTAGCAGAGTATAGATGACAACCACGAACTATTCTAGACAGTCCAGTGGAACACTAGCAGGATCGCAACCTGTAGGTGTTGTGAACGATATGTTCATCAGATGTACTCTAAAAACCTATTGACATGTATTGTGAGTGGACTCCTTAAAATAATACTGTCAATAAAAGAGATAAACCCTGGCAGCTATGGACTTAGTGCCTAACAAATAACATCGACAGCTATGAACTTAGTGCCTGTTATATAAACCCTAGCAGCGATAGACTTCGTGCTTATTCCTTAGGACAATCCTTAGGAATAAATATTGAGGAATAAATGATTGTTAGGGAAGATACTTAAGAATAAAGAAGATAACGGGGATGGGTAATTGGGTTAATTGTTTGATGATGAAACATAATAACTTTATTATTGTGGGTTGAAAACCCTATCTACTCATCAGGTTTCCCAACCTGACCCACTCAGTTTATTTGTATCACAGGTATCGATACGAAGCTACATTACACTGAGAGATTAAATGAGATGTAAATCAGTAGTGTAAATGATCGTAAGGTCTATTTATGCTTATGTTTCTGTATTGACGATGACATCCCAAAGTTTTGATATAAAAAAAATACATTTCTTCGGAAATGCTTTGATAATATATTTATCATGTTTTCTGGGAACAAATTCCGCAATATTATTCTTTAAAATGAATACTCTGGTTTTCAAATAAGCATAAATAAAATTTTTAAAATGACCGTGAATTTGGGGATGTTACATATACAATGACAGTTTGGAATACTGACATACATTAAAAAATGTATGCAGGGCGCGTGTGGTGTTCATAATGGCCGCCCAACATTGAATACGTCAATCCAAAATACATGAGTGTCAGATTCTAGATGTCATATCTCGCCAACTACCACCAAATTCCGAATAAATTTTACTACTCCAAAATACGGTAGTTAAGGAGTTGATGGCCCCTTTACAAACTTTTTATAAAAAAAACTAATTTTTTTTATCAAAACGCTCATGTATATTGGTTAGTTTACTCACGTAAATAACCTTATAATTAAGGGAAATTGAGTAATCTAACCCTTTTTGGTTGTTTTTTAAAAATATAATCCTTTTTTATTTTTGCAAAATGACCACTTGGTCCGGAATGGGGCATTTTGGACCCGATTTAATATTCGGTAAACGGGTAGATAATTCTGACCTGGTAATCTGGTTCTCCTATAAATATCCTTTAACCCGTTTCAGACTAGATTTCGTCATTCCCTCGTTTCAGATTACTCTACATCTCATTTCGGACACCTTTATAATTGAAAATGTCTTCTGATAGCAGTGAAGAAATGCAGTTTTCATATGTAAGTTTCAAGCTTTCTTTGAAATCAGACTCTCGGTAAGCCTTTGCAACCTCCCAAAACTAGGGGTGTAAACGAGCCGAGTCGAGACCGAGCTTGGCCAAACTCGTCTCATGCTCGTTTAATTTATGAGGGGCTCGAGCTCGAGATCGGCTCGATTCGAGCTTTATTGCACCAAGCTCGGCTCGAGCTCGTGAAGAATTATATAGGCTCGGATCGGGCTCGAGATCGGCTCTTTTTTGTATGATGAGCCTAAATAAGCTTAAGCTCGATTCAAGCTCGTTAAGAAGCTCGTTTACTAATACCCTACATCCTTAATTCGTCAAATTTTATTTATTTTAATATATAAAAATAATAATAATGTATATTATATATAGGCTCGTTTAGGCTAGCGAGCTCACTGATTGAAGCTTGGCTCGAGCTCGTTTAATAAACGAGCCTGATATTTAGGCTCAAGCTCGGCTCAGGCTCGTTTAATTCGATCCCGAGTCAAGATTTTAACGAGTTGATCTTGAGTAGCTGGACTCACTTACACCCCTACCCAAATAAAATTTATGTTCTCTCTTGCTTGCCGATCTTTGCTCTCATATTCATCAATAAATGGCGACAACAGAGTCTATGCATTCGGGAACACGACTTGAGTGGCCATTTCAATTAAATTGACTATATCTGATATGATAGCCAAAGATGGCATGTCCCCAATACACTCTTTGAGTCTTGATAAAAACCAAATCCATGACTCTCCACTTTCAGTTTTCCCAACACCAAATGCAATAGGGAGGATTTGGTTATTACCATCCATGCCTACTGCTAGGAACATGGTGTCCAAGTATTTCCCTTTAAGGTGTGTGCCATCAATGATAATAATAGGACGCAAACATCTTTGAAACACTCAAACCTGAAAAGTAATTAATAATCTAATTAAAGAGAACACACGTGTATGGACATTAAATATAAAGAAGTCGGTATTTAAAAAATATTACCGTGCAACCGATAGCCATGAAAAACTATTCAAATTTGTTATCATCACTCGTCTTTATATATGTAACCGTCCCTGGATTCTTTTTCTCCTAGTTGTAACAGTATAAACGTAGTCTTTGAAAGCTTTCTTCAGGGGCCCCTCTCAATAGATTTAGAGCATACATTTTAGCATTCCATGCTTGCCAGTATGAAATATGTACACAAAGACGGTCATTTAAAGTTCGTCGTATCTGTTTCCCACACAACATATTACTTGTACTATCAACTAATATGCCCTTCAAGAAGTGACCCAATACATTTTTGTTGGCTTGTCGGTGATGGGGACGTAGCTGTGTGTTTGAGCAAGTGTGTTTCTACGATAGTCTAACCACTTGAAATGTATCAGTAGTATTATGTTTTGTTGCCCTTATCCGCCAATAACAATTATCCATAGCAAAGAGCTTCAAACCTACCTTTTGTAGATTTTTTCACTTTATATTGGAAACCTTCACTAACACTTTTCAATCCTAAATTAAGTTTAAGTGCTTCTTTGTTTTTGAAGAGTTGGTATAACTTCACATGGGAAGTATAGTTGTGCGATGTGGCCCTTTTACGATTTTCTTGAGCTAATTCAGGCAGTGGTAAAGGTTCAGGCATACCCCAATGAGTGGGTTGTGTTTCTTTAGAATCAGAAAAATAAAAAGGAAACTTTTCCTGTTGTGCTTTTCGAGGTTGTAAGGGATCAGTTTCCTCCTCCCCACCTTCATGATCATCCCCATCAAATTCAGTGTAATTCTGAAAATGTTTAACTGGCTCTCCATGTGGAATTATATTACCATCATCAACCAACATCATTAGTTTTGCCTCATCATTCGTAAATTCATCAACATCAAAAGTAAGGTTAGCATGAACAACAACCTTACCTTTAGACCTATAACCACCCCATGTATAGGGTCATTGTAAGAAGGAACATGGTTGGTTGTCATAGGTAATAAATTACAAAGTTGGTTACTTCCAGCACCGGAATAACCATTTCAAGAAAGATTTTCCCCGAGAAGTCGATTAGTACCACTTTCCATAACATTATACTGTGTTGGGAGACATAGTAGTAAACAAACTAAATTGTACTGTGTTGGGAGACATAGTTGTAACCTGGACTTGGAAGCAACCAACGTAACTAATCCAACGGAGTTGATATCATTGCCTATATCTACACCAAATCATGTGTAATCCGGAGCAAGATACTGCATACATCCGTCGATACGCTGTCATTGCCCTCCACTAGAAAATGGTACTCGAAAAAATCCCGTATACGTACTCATTCCGGAACGTTTATGGAAATTATCGAAGACACAAATATATTAAACACACAAATATATTGCATATTTGGAACAAAAACATACAAAAACCCTAATTCTAGCTATCCGAAATATCACTCTGGAATGTATGGCCGTTTCAGACTGTAGTCCGGAATACATTTTTTTCAGTCCGAAACGTACGGGGTGTCAGATTCCGGATCAAAATCCCACCAACCAGCATCCACTCCGAAACAAGATCATAAATACTCCGGAATATCATATTCCGGATCACAAGTCCAAAACAAAATTACGTGCTTCGGAATATGATATTCCAGAGCATGTGGTCAATTTCCCAAAAAAAAATTATTAGTTATTTTTATTAAAATAGTCGTTCATGATGATTAAATTACTCAATTTCTCTATAATTAAACACATGTATAATAAGTTTTGCTAGTAAATTAGGTCAATTCTGATTTTGGACCCAGCGATTTTGGGCTTCAAAAATATGTAACATTGTAGCGTGTAAACTCTACGTGTGCCATTTGTGACCCGACTAACCCATTTGCCAGGTTTCGGCTGAACATTCCGGCACCGGCGACGTACGCATCGATCCTCTCCGCCGCCGGCTCTCAACTCGTTAGGCCAGCAGTCACCATCTTGAAGCTTCTCTTCTTAGTCTCTTCTTATGTAAGTCTGTTTAGTATTTTTCAGAATACGAGATAAAGTTCACTTTATCTTACTCTCTTTTTGAAGCTTCTCTGCTTACTCTTATCTTACGCATCGATCCTTGTAGGTTTTTCATCATTGTCGCTGAATTGATCCATATAAAGTTACCAAAAAACTAAAGACTGATTGATTTTATCGTTTTTGGATATTTTTCAGTTCAATTTAGTACACGATATTTCTTAATTCTCCATCTTCATGGAGTCTCAGCTAGAGCTAGGGTTTAAGGAAGCAACAAGCAGTGAGATTTTTGGAGAAGGAAACTATAAGTTGGTGCCATGGATAAGTTGGGATGATTGGAGTTTCGTGAGAGAATCTCTGTTTTCTTCTTCCCCAGCCTCCATGGATTTGGCTCTTAGAAGAGTAAGAATCCATATATTCAAAACACTATGTTGACCCTATGGCAATGAATTTATTTTTGGTTTTTCTTTCATTTTTTTGACCAGATATCTGCCTGGCGAAGCAGAGGATGCCTTCCTATAATAATTGAAGTGACTGCTTCCATTGTTGAAATCCAACAAAAGGATTCTTACTTTAGGTTCATTTTTCCTTTTTCCATCCAACAAAGCTAAAAAATGGAATTCTTTTAGTATGAGATTTGATGTTTTCTCAAATATTTATGCATATGTTTTGTTTACTTCAGGGATGGCCTACCTGAAAGTGATTTACTAGCAGATGATATGTTGACAATGTTATATTGTATGACCATGATAAGGTAAATACTTCTTGATAATTTTGATGGATTTATGGATTATGGAGTATATAATGTACTTACTGAAACATAAAATTGAAGGTTAGTGAATGGTATTGTGGAGAAGACTCGGAAGAAGAATGAGGTTTCAATTGGAGAGGCTGCTGATGTAATTGGCATTCCTCGTATGCTCATTGATATTCGTCATGGTAAGGAATTTAGATATGCTGAATGCATGCACTTTTTATATAATGGGAGAAAAGACGTGAATGCCCTCCTTGTATGCTGATTGATATTCTTTATTTTTTTTTTCTTGTAGAGTGTTCACATCGTGATCTTCCTTCACTAAGGCTTGTTCGCCTTGCATCTACAAAGGTATATCAAATAGTCAGCTGTTTGATTGTTTAGCAAATTCAGGTTAATCTTTAGAACTAATAGATAAAATGACTAAAAAGGACATTCTTGTGAAAGAAAATGAAAGGTAGTTACTATTTAACAATCAAACTAAAGGTATGAAACTGATTATTTGACCCCTAAGTAATCGAATAATCAAAAACTAAATATGAATATCCATCATTAAGACTTGATTATTATGACTTCAAGCTGCAATAATTAGATATTCAGTTCCAAAATTCACATCCAATCATGCCCTAAAAGTGGAAGATAACGATTCAAGAGAATGCATTTAACTGATATCTCTTATAGTTGTTTTTTTAGTTGTTTGTTTTGGAATATAGCAAGCAACTTTAAACATTGATTATCAACCTGTTATGTATTTAATGTTCTCATTACATTCAAGTTTAACCAGATGTACAAAATTTCAGGCACTTGATTGGTTGAAAGCTTATTATTGGGAGCCCCAAAAGATGGCAATTCCATATCCAAATGATAGAAACACAAACTTTGGAAAAGAAATAAAGTCTAAGATACGCGAATTGGCCTTCTGTTTGGATGTGAAGCAAGCTACAAAATCATCTTCTCCTGTAGTTAAAGGGAAACGTAAGTATGCATTCTGATTTTTTCTCATCATGTGTTGACTGAATAAAGTGTTGCTTGGATAAATGAATTCTGAAAAGTATTTGAAAGTTAGGACTTAATGAGGAAAACCTCATTTCCCTGACTTTCTTTATTAAGTCGTTCTTTTTGCATTAAGTCAAAAAGAATTGGTAAAAAGAGTGATACGTGGTAGCATATTTTGCATATTTTAGTCCTAGAATGAAACACGGATGCAAATTTTTTAATCTATTTCAGTTCTTTTTTGTTTATGGAAAGAAAGAAATACAAATTTATTTTATTTATTTGGGCTTAGGCATCAAATATAGTGAGCATCTATGCGGGCGTAATAAGTTTCTGTCACTTATGGCTGTCAAGATTCAATCTTCTAAACCTTCAGGCAAGGCCATCATCATTTACATTTACATTGCATTGTGATTGTATGCTCAATTATTTATTCTTCTTTTTTCTAATAATACTTCTATGATTCTCTCAACCTTTGGGGCTAAATGCAAGATATAGCAATGTACTTTCATTTAATTTTATACGTGGGTAGATTTTTTAAAGTATAGTGTTAAGTGTTGTAATAAGAAGAAATGAAAGTAGGATGCTATAATAAACAAATCAATGAAAGTACATTGCTGTTTCTTGCATTTAGCCCTAAAAGTTATGAAACTTAAAATATCGATAAACAGATCTCCATTTCAAACTAAATAAATGTTTTCTTTTTCTTTTTGTCAACAATATGAAATTGCACGAGGAGATCCGTTTTCCTCTACAGTTCCTAATATATAATATATCAAGTAGATTAAAGTTTTTATCCACATGCTATATCACTTTTTTTGGATAAGATACAAAAGTTCATTTTTTTTCCTTTTTTCGTCCCTAAATTACTGTTTGGAGGTGGAAATAGTTTTTTGAAGGGTTAGTGAGGCCTCTGAGTTTAAAAGAAACAGACATGTGATTGGTTGAATTTGATTTGAAGTTTAAGGTTCTTAAAATTTAATGAGATGAAGAAGACGGAGACAAGGGCAAAATGGTCATTTATTCAAGTTTAAACGTCCCATGGATGAAAGGGGTGACCAAACAGTGATTTAGGGACGAAATAAGTAAAAAAAGTCAAACTTTTGTTCCATATCCAAAATAGTGATATACCACAAGGATAAAAACTGTAATTTACTCTCTATCATGTAGCCAAGAATAATATTACTGTTTAGATTGATATTAATAGGTTAAAAATGAAGTATAATAGCCCATAAAAAGAGTAAAGTATGTTGCTATTTTCATCAATTTGCCCTATTTTGAATGTTTGTTGATGGTTGTTTATACTTTATATCTTGAAGGTTCTAAGAAACATATAACCAAGGCACTGAAGAATGTTATCAAGTTATATTCTTCCTTCCCTTCAGAAGTGGTGTCTATTTTGTTGGAGTTCTTGCTGAAGGCACTGGAATCTGCTGATGTGGCACTTGATGATTGGAAGCCTCTAATTATGAAGTTGTCAAATAAAGTACCTGAGATGCTTCTAAGTCTTCTCAAAGCAAATCTTCAAATGATTGAGACCCGAGATGCTCTAACACATGACTCAGGTAACTTCATCTAGTCTCCAAGTATGATACAATCTGTGTTTACAGATTATATTTTAAATCATTAATTTTTTTTTTTAATTTCTTAGATTCTCACAATACTTATGATCCTAACTTTGTTGTTATATATTAATTATATCAGGCGAACACCTAAAACCAGACAACAAATCTCGATTCCATGAAACCGAGAATCTTTCCCGTTTATTCTCATGGCTTATCGGAAACCTCAAAGATCTAAACAATTCTCTCCGGAAACTCACGTTTCTAGAAACTTCCGGAACCTCAAAAGACAAAAGTCTCCCAAAGTCCGCTCTCATGGATCTCCTATGCAAATGTCTCCTTGTCCCTTCACTCGGCAACACCCACCTAACAACCGCCACCTCGATTCTCGCACAAACCACCGCCAACCACACATTAATTGAAAAACTCAAAAAATTAGCATCCCTACATACATCAAACACCGGAATTACGTATTCCGATTCCGGCCACTTTTACGACCAGGAAGAGGAATCCATTCGTGAAGCCGCTAATAAGTTTGAGTTGATTAAACGGAAATTATCACGGAAAAATGAATTGAAAATCGGGGAGAATGGAAAGAAGGGTGGAAGATGGAATGTGGTGAAATCATGGAGGCCGTGTCCGATTGGGATGTTGCCTTCGGATTTTGGTTCTTCGGGTGTTGTTCCGGTTCTTGAGATTGTTGGTGGTTGTGAAGAACAGGGGAAGTTAGTGGAATGGAATGAGAAAGGGGGAGATGGAAAGAGGGAAGCCGATTGTTCGGTTGGAGATTTGGATGATTCCGTTGTTAAGAAAGTTAAAATGAGTGAAGCAGATGATGATGATGGAGTTGGAGTTTTGGGAGGTGTAGAGAACCAATTGATGATTGGTGGAGTGTGGAAGAGGGTTACACATGATGAAGTGGTTAACATTGCTTCTGCTGTTAGGATTTTGGTTTAGTGTAAACAAATTTTGGTTTTGTTTGTGTAATAATATTTTTGAATGTTTGGTGGAAAAGAATAGGATTTTGGCTTGGTGTTTAACATAATCATGGAATCAGTTTTGGTCACAAAAGAAGGTTTTGGATGATAAGTATTTAAAATCAGATTATTATCCGTGATAACGGTTTGTAGGAGATGATGTTTGAATTTGATTAGGTTGTAATAGTTAGGTATATTTATTTGGTAAATTTTGATTGCTTTATAGTAAGCTACAAACCAACCCATATCAATGTGCTCAATCCTTCGTTAAATTTTGATTGATTAATAGTATATTTATTCGGTTTAATTTATAGGTTCACAAGCTCATGGACATGATTGTTTCTGTTGTCGAGTTTTTGCAAGATTCTTGGGAGTCGGCTATTGGAATTATATTGCATGGTAGGTGGTATTGGATAAAACACAGTTTGTTTGATAAAATGTCTGAGAGAAATATGTTGATTACTCCGGGTGATTACAAAGAGACAATTAGTTTGTTCTATTTGATGATTGATGAAAAAAAAAATGTTTAAAGCCTGTGCTCAGGTCAAGGATTATACGATAGGGAAGGATGTGTATGATGACATGATGACCTTTGGGTTTGAAGGGAATAACTGTGTCAAAAGAACTTTCTTGGACATGTTCATCAAATGTAGAAAGACGGATATTGGAAGACTCTGGTGTTTGAATGATGTTATCATGTGGAATATAATGGTTTGTGGATATGTATCAAAGAAACGCTTCAAAAGGGCATAGAGGCTTATAGATGAGACGATTGATCGAAATATGAGGAATACAATCCTATGTGTTTATGCTCAATATAGGCAGTTTGAAAGCTCCCATATGTGATTAGATTGAAGTTGATAGGAAAGTTTATACCTTTGTTGTTGGAGATACTTTGGCTCTATTTCTAGTTGAAAAGCTAGCTTTCAGTTGAAAAAAAAACTGAAAGCTTTTGCTAGATAAGCTAGTTAGTAGAGCTCACAAAGTAATATTTGATAAACTAACCGATAAGTTGGGTTCGAAAAGAAATGAGGTATGTCGACCAAATAAGGCTTAAAAGTGAGATAGTTAATTGAGTTACAAGGAAAACGATCATTAGTGGAGACACTTCGGTTACATTTGACATACTAGCCGAAAAACTAGCTTTCGGTTGAAAAACTAATGACAAACTAGTTAACAACGGACAAAGTAATATTGTTCGGTACAAACTAGTTGATAACTTAGATGGAAAGTATAAAATGATATAGAAAGACGTTTAGATGACTCCATGAAGAAGACGCACTATATTGCATCCTAACCTGACATCAATTCCCGAAACAAAAACTAGACAACCTCGAAGAGGGCAACCAAGGACAAGAGCAGTCCCAGTAATGGAAACACAGACCCCGTCTGACCAGCAACACCAACTGAACCAGGATTGCCTACGATCGCAGCAACATTAGAGTAGATAATAGCTGATCGCCTTGCCATTGCCCTAACATAAGCAGAAGCAATTCGAAATGCTGCAAACGGAGCTGGAGATGAAATGTATGGAAACGGTCGTGGTAGTAGCTCTCGAGGAGATGTTTAAGGGCTGCAAAGATCTTGCAGTTATAAAGATTTCATGAACTACAAACCCAAAAATTTCTATGGGAACGAGGGCATAATTGGTCTGACAAGATAGATTGAGAAGATGAAATCCGTCTTCTGAATAAGTTTCTGTCCCGATGACTGCTAGGTCCGGTTTGCTATGTGTACACTTATGGATTCAACCCTCACTTGGTGGAATGACCAAGTGAAAGCTCTGGGCATTATCCTGCAAACTCATTAACATGGGGAGAACAGAAAATAATGTTGGAGGAAGAATACTGCCGAAGGGATGAAGTTCAAGCCTTGGAACAAGAACTATGGAATCTGAAAATGAAAGGCTTGGACATCAAGACTTACACAACCAGGTTTAATGGCCTTTCACTGCTATACCCGGATCTAGTAACCCCGGAATACAAAAATATAGAGCGTTATGTTTGGGGTTTGGTGCCATAAATAAGGGGAATAGTGATGGGGTCACGATCAACAACTTATGAAAGCGAAAGAAACTTGGCAAACCGTTTGGTCAAGAATGAGCTTAGTCGGGGAACAGTGAGTACTAAGATTGAAACTTCCAAGTTTGAAACCAACAACCGCAAGACTGGAGGTTGGGATTTTAGGCAAACATTGAGGAAGAAACAAGGGAATGAAACTGTGTACGCAGCAACTACGACAACCAGTCCAACCCCAGTTCATCGGTCAAACAATACTGGTATATACCCACAATGCAACAAGTACCTCAAACATCATCTTGGTGAATGTTATTTCTGCACCAAATGCAAAAAGTTTGGGCACACGATTGGTTATTGCAAAAACACAGTGCTAGCTGTGGGGAGCACCCAAATGAATACAGGTTCAAGTGGAAATGGTGGTAGAAATTGTTACGAATGTGGTGGATTGGGACTTTTCAAACATAACTGCCTGAAATTGAAAAATACTGGTGTAGGGCTCGTGGACGGGCATTTGTTATTAGAAGCAAGGAAGAGATTCAAGATCCTTCAGTGGTTATTGGTACGTTCCTCATCAATCACCTTTATGCTACAGTTTTATTCGACTCCGAAGCTGATAAGAGTTTTATAACACCGACATTTAAACAGCCATTGAAGTACGAGTCCAGCAAATTAGATGTAGCATATGAGGTAGAAGTAGCAAATGTCCAAATAGAAAGTACTGCTGAAATCCTAAGAAACTGGCTTCTAACACTGAACGTCCACACATTCCAAGTCGACCTTATGCCAATGCCAATCAGGAGCTTCTATAGCATCATTGGTATGGATTGACTGTCTCCTCACCATGCAGAAATCATGTGTTACGAGAAAGTTGTAAGGCTACCTTTACCTAACAGAGAAACCTTGACCATCTATGGTGACAATTCGGGTAAAATCTCAAACTCGTGTCTTGTACAAAATCTCGGAAATATGTACACAAGAAGTGATATGCCTTTTTGGCTCATATAGTAGATAAGAAGAGTAAAGTGAAAGAAAACAAGGATATACCTCACGTATGTGAATACCTTGATGTTTACCCAGAAGATTTACCAGGGCTACCACCACCAGACAGGTCGAGTTTAGAATTGACCTAATCCTCAGAACAATGCCAATAGCTAAAGCACCCTATAGATTGGGTCCGTCCGAGATGCAGGAACTCTTGATCCAACTACAAGAACTTCTTGACAAGGGATTCATCAGGCCAAGTTTTTTGCCTTGGGGAGTGCTAATATTATTTGTCAAAAAGAAAGATGGGTCGTTCCGAATGTGCATCGACTATAGAGAGCTAAACAAACTGACCATCAAGAATTGGTAACCCCTCCCTAGAATTGATGATTTGTTTGACCAACTACAAGGATCTAGTTATTACTCAAAGATAGACTTAAGATTTGGGTACCATCAACTCAAGATACTAGAAGAAGATTTACCAAAGACTGCATTCAGGACCCGGTACGGCCATTAGGAGTTTTTGGTCATGCCTTCTGGGCTGACTAATGCCCTATCAGTATTCATGGATCTTATGATCGAGTCTGCAAACCATATTTAGACAAGTTTGTGATAGAATTTATTGATGATATTCTGATCTACTCACAAACTAAGGAAGAGCATGGATAACACTTGCTGTTAATCTTAGAATTGCTGAGGAAAGAGAAGTTGTACGCCAAATTCTCTAAATGTGAATTTTGGATTACGCAAGTGCAATTTTTGGGGCACGTTGTGAGAAATAAAGGAATTCATGTAGACCCTACAAAAATCGAAGCGATCAAGAATTGGGAGGCACAAAAAACGCCAACAGAGTTGCGCCAGTTTTTAGGCCTTGCGGGCTACTACCAGAGATTAATTGAAAATTTCTCAAAGATCGCGAAGCCTTTCACTGCTCTAACACAAAAAGACATAAAATTTGATTGGGGAGATAAGCAGGAAACTGCATTCCAAAAGTTGAAACAAATGTTGTGTAGTGCACCAATCCTATCTTTGCCCGAACGAACAGATGATTTCGTCATATATTGCGATGCATCAATTCAAGGATTGGGGTGTGTGTTAATGCAGAGAGAAAAGGTGATTGCATATGCCTCACGACAACTCAATACCCATGAAAAAAACTATACGACCCATGATTTTGAGTTGGGAGAGGTAGTTATGACACCATCTGGGTAGTGGTCGACGGTTGACAAAGTCCGCCTACTTCCTGCCAATCAAGGGAACTGATAAGATGGAAAAACTGACAAGTACTTATCTCAAGGAAATTGTCAGGCTTCACGGAGTGCCCATTTCTATCTTCTCAGATAGAGATAGTAGATTTACATCGAGATTTGGCAGTTATTGCAAAAATCCATGGGAACTCGATTAGATATGAGCATCGCTTACCATCCACAGACTGATGGGCATAGTGAACGAACAATCCACACTTTGGAGGATATGTTATGATCTTGTGTAATTGATTTTGGGAATGCTTGGGATACTCATCTTCCACTTGTAGAATTATCCTACAATAACAACTATCATACCAACATAAAGGCTGCACCATTTGAGGCTCTTTACGGGCGAAAGTGTAGATCATTGTTGTGTTGGGCAAAAGTGGGAGATACTCAGTTGGCCAGCAAGCATGCGGGTGACACTCTACGCACTAGGCCTGAAATAACACACGAGACTACAAAGAAGATAGTCCAAATCAAGGAAAGACTCCACACTGTAACATTCTGTTTAAAATGGGATAATTAAATAATAAACCCGGAACCCCGAGAGGTAATTTTTATTATTATTTTATATTATTATAGCCCAAAATCAAATAATAATTAGCTAGGTGTTGATTTCGGGGAGCCAAATATCAAGATTTGAAACTCCGGGGGTTAAAGTGTAATTTCAGGACTTATTTGTAAAGATTTTCAGTAGTCAGGGCGTATTTGGTATCATTTGGACTTAATATGAAAGGATTTATGGAAACGGGGGCTAAAGAGTAAATTTTGGACCTATGTTGAAAAGGATTTGTAGAGGAGGGGATGTTGGGTAAATTATGGATTGGATTTGAAAGGGATTTTTGAAGTCGGGGTAGAAATGGTAAATTTTGGATCGAAATTGAAAGAAAAGGGAGAAGGAGGGACCAA